TTCACCCTCAATTAGTCTGAGATATCGTAACCCAGTAGATTAGACGTAAATCGTCATTCTGTCACCTTGTTGTACAATGTACATGTATCATTAAAAAGATATTCTTGGGATTGTAATTAAAAAGGCGAATAAAAGTAATACGTTTGTTGTAATGGATATACATGAATATAATGGATGTATCTTGATCCTCAGATTGTATGAGAAAACTCGTTTCTACCTATTATGCAGAGGTAGAAAAACAGGATTTAGTAGCTCTACATGTGAGCATCCAATCAAAAGTGTATGGAATGTATCAAAAACAAAACAAACACTTTTAAAGGCCAACGCAACCTCTCAAGACTATCCACCCAGGTAGCACAAAACATTTTCAAAACATTTTATTGCAGTTATAAAAAGGTTTTTTCAAAACATTCCAGAGTAAACATTTTTAAAATGTTTTAAAAACATTTTTCTTTCCCATTGTAACATTTTAAAAACATTTTAAAAATGTTTTCAAAAAGGTTAAAGTAAAATCTTTAAGGAACATTTCTAGAAAATGTTTTTGAAACGTTTTAAAAATGATTCCAAAGGAATGTCTTATTTGCATACATTAAACAGTTTCATAGTACGTTATAAAAATGTTTTTAAAACATGAAATAAAACATTCCTCTTTTATATATTTGAAACATAGTAGTGTTACGTTTCTAAAACATTTCGAAGGAACGTTGTCAGAATGTTTTTAAAACATTCTTAATATTGCTTATAGTTTAATATTTAAATGTTTCAGTGTTGGTCCTGAAAATGTTTTTAAAACATTGAACAAAACGTTTTCTCCTCCGACAACTGAAACATTTTATTTATAATTTATGCAACATTCTATAGAAACATTTAAAAAATGTTTTTAAAACATTTATATCATTGTTAATATTAATGCATTTGTTTATTTTCAAAGTATGTTGTAAAAATGTTTTTAGAACATTGACTATAACGTTTATCCTTTTAAAGACTAAAACTTCTATTTAGCACTGATGTAATATAAAGTAATGTAATTTTCAAAATGTCTTAAAAAATATTCATGACTAACCCAATTTTTCTGAAAAAAATATATAGAATATCCAAAGAGGATTGAGATCAAATGAAGAATTGTTTTTCAAAATGTTCCGAAAACATTATCCCTGTATTTTTCTTTCTTTTTTTCAAAAATTCTTATTGATAGACATGTAATCAATACAAAATTCACTGAATAAACTAAAGATACTTTAATTTAAAAAAGAAAACAAAATAATAAGCAAACTGATTACAATAATTAAGACAGACTGATTTTTGACGATCTCCTCTGTTTGCATCATATTTCTTAAACACCAATGCAGCAGATTAGGAGTGGCCTCACTGGTCAGTTTCAGTGTCATGATAACCTTGTTATGCAATTCTCCTGCTGGGCAGCGCGTTAGAGTGTTTAGTGGCTTGCAGCTTATCTAGGCCAAAATTTGAATTCTGGTAAACAGGCTGTGCACGTTTTCTTGTTGCTGATTTTCAAACAAGATTTTTGCATCATATAAACCAGAGGAATTAGCGCTGGATTATTAAAATCTGCTTTGTGAGTATAATTTCATCAGAAATTTCAAAAGATTATATTTAAAAGTGACTTTTCTGTTACCAGTACATCATTGTATTAGAAATGCATATGTGTAGCAATAACAAAGCTATTATGTACTTTGAATTGAATACTTTAGGCAACAATAAATATATTCCTCCTTGTCTTATGTTGATCAGAACTCAAAATATCTTTTTATTGAAACATGAAATCATATTGCAGTTAGACGACAGTTCCATCAACAGACCTGAATTTCATTCAAATTGCCACATTTGAAAGAACCGCCTCTAGCTGATAAAGGCAATTTTTTGTACGTAAATATCATTGCTCTTCAATTATATTTTTGTGTTTTAGTTATGAACATGCAACAACTCTAATAGTTTTCATTAATGCAAATGGGAAAATTCCATGTGATTTTATGACTTAAAAAATGTAAATTCTTGTATATTTTCATTATTGAAAGATATGATGTAGGCGGATGACTTTAACACTATTATCTCTATGTTTACAGGTTCTGCTTTACAGAAAAGAGCTTCTTGTTTAATTCTTTCCGAGGACAGACATCTTGTGAACTTTATCAACGTGTGTGATTCCATTTATATAATAGAACCGCCACTCTGTGGAACTTACGCATGTAAATACATGCTTTTTGCGGGATCGTTATTGATAACAGTGATCTAGGCCTGGTTATTCTTTTTAGTGGGAAGGATTCATGCGATTCTTTTGTTTTTAAATTCAGGGAATGGATTTTTTTCCTTTAAAAATACCTGTTGAGTTAAAACAGAATAACTCAAAACTTGTACCAGAAATGGAACTAAAATATGTGTTTCATATTAAATAAGGATTTGTATTAAAATTTGTAAAAGTGAATTCATTCAGTTGTGATTAATTCTTTGAGCATGTTGAGAGAGTTATAATTAAGATGAAATGTATGAAAAGCGCTTTTAAAATCATACAAAATGATGTTGATATCATTTAATGAAAACGTTGACATTTCAGGAAAGAGATGTCATTGCGACATTTGGGTAAAATGTTTTAAAAACGTTTAAAAAACCATACAAAATCACGTGAATAAAACATTTTCAAAAATGTTTTAGTAACATTTAAGGAAAATGTTCTGATAACATTTGCTGAAACATTTTGCTGAAATGTTTTAAAAACGTTTAAAAAACCATACAAAATCACGTGATTAAAACATTTTTTAAAATGTTTTTGTAACATTTTGAAAATGTTTTTAAAACATTTTAAAAATGTTTTTGTGCTAGCTGGGCACCTGGTCGGCCAATTATTTTTCAATGTGGCACGGGAATGAAAATATAGGTACATGTAACTAATGTGATCATTTCCTCGCGCGCATTGTTTAAAAAAAAAATTCATACATCAAAGACACGTCCGATTATGAACAAAATCAAATTTCTGATAGACCTGGAAATTTCATCCTGGTTACCTATGATGTGACCAGCAGGTACACCAACATGGAATTTTATGAATTAATTACTACAATCTGTCGAGAAAGTATATCTAGAAGACAATACTAATCTGTAATCACCCCCGACCTTCCTGTTCTGCTAGAACCTTAAGCTTATCACCTTCAAGTAACCTGTTTTATGTATCTTCATTTCATATCACAAGAAAGAATTTTAATGATTTTCTCCAGTGTAAATTGTCAGTGTAAAAACTGTATATGGACATATAGCATTACCAGTTTAGTTGTAATTTGTCAACGAAAATTGACAAAAAAGCTGTACAAAATGACAATATTCAGAATCAAAAGTGGCGGCCGCTGTCGGCCATCGTATGAAACACATATTGGAGACAAGCAACAATTAAACATTTGAACTGTTCAACAATATAACAAAGAATAAATATAGGCGCGCTGTTTCTTATGCAGTACACTCTACTGTATGCGTTTCGAAATTAAAACGCATGTGTTACGTTGTTCCGCTACGATAGCCCCCCCCCCCCCCCCAAATGGAAGTGATAGCACATAATAAATTTAAAAAAAACAACAACATGATTTCAGCTTTTAGGGCGAAATACATATCTGATATGGGGAAAAAACCAAATTCAAATACGTGTAATTAGGTGAGTGGGTAAAGAATTAGTTTGTTGTCTAACATCGATAATTATTGCACACTGAAACTGTATGTAAATGTTTATATGAATCAACAAAAGACATACCATTTATTTACAGTGTATAAATAATAATACGCGATAATTAAATTTTGAATCAACATTTGTCACATTTAGTTTTGAAAGGGAGGTCATGTTGAAAACTAATGTGAATTGAGATTTATGTTAGAAATTAAACTTTTGATCTCGTCACATATTTCGATTCAAATAAAAAATATCAATAATTTCTAGCGGATTATGATATAATATTACTCTAGAAAAACTCATATTTAGGACTAGAAAGTTTTTGATCAGTTCTATATATATGTATTTTAAATAAAATTAATCTATACGTTACAAAAACTTTTTTTTCTTCAGTTTTAGTTTAAAACTAAACGAAAATCGGCGAGACATTCAATTGTTTTAATACATTTCATTGTCAAAACGCACTGTACGAATTGGAAATAAGTCCTTCACACTCACAAAGTACTCTCCTCTGTTAATTCAATTTTAATTTAATAAGAATAAGATCTCAGATTCTCGCTACGACAAGGATTTGACGATTACCGCACTGGACGTCACTTTCTATTGAAAATATGTGTTTGCATTTATATTTCTATCCAGTTCAGATTATAAAGCTTTCAAGAATTTATTATATCAGAAAATAATGTAGAATGTAGCAGTAAGGCATACGTCTATAGTATTAGATACTTAGATACATAACTAGGACTAATTGCGGCTCTCATGTGTACAAAGATAAGCAGATACTGTAGAACGTTCCTTCTTTCAATGAAACCCAGTCTTTGGGACACAGATTATTCTCACATGTACTATTGGATATAATGCAGTCAATTTACACTCGCGCGCAGTTATCGCATAAACTGCAATATAAAATCAACACCTCTCTTCCTTTTATAATATATTGCTAAACTGATTATGATGCTGATTAGATACTTCTCTATTCCAATTTTAAGTTTTTAAATGTATTCATAAAATTGCAATGGAATTTTTTTTTACGACGTTACGATGTAACGTAATGACGTTACGTTACAAATAATAACGTTCCTCAAGCAAATTTAAATCAAAACAATGCCATACTGTAAAATCTCTTCTTGAAAAAGTATAATAGATATCTAAAAAAGAAAATCAGTAATGCAAAGCTAAAAATCTACACTATCTTTATTGAAATCCTCATTAATTTTTTAGTTAAGGCACATTTCGATGGTTCGTGGCTCTAGCTCTTCCATGAAGCATAAAAAGAAAGTATTTTTTTGTACGTATTCAGACAAATCAGGTGATCGGGGGACGATTCCAAATGAGTGCCCTCGGAAGCACATCTGACGTTTCTCTGACGTCATCATTATTACAGGATGACACTCACAAACCAGTTGGAATGAGATTCACCCTAGAGGAATTGGCAGCTCTCTCTGGAACATCTAACTCCTCATCCACATCATACCAACATAACGAGGTATGTAAGTACTTTGATACAAATGTGTGTAATTTAATAAGCCCCAAATGGAGAAACTCATATATGTACTGAAACTATGTAAAATTGTTTTTAAATTGCCTTCTTTACAACTGCAGTAAAGCAGGTATAATTAGCAAATTTAAATCTCTATAAAGAATGTGAAATTCATTCCTCTGGACCTTCGGTGAATTCTATAGATTTTTTGCTTAAGAAAATTTAATTTACCTCTGCAATTTTTTTTTTTTTTTTTTTTTTTTTTTTTTTTTTTGATCAAGTACATTATGAACGAGGCAGAGGGGTAGAATTCATACCTCAGAGCCAATTAAGTTTCAGGTTTTAACGTAGGGTGTGTAGTTAGTTTGAATTTGAAAATAGCAATCCCAGTGTTTTCTTATTTCTTAGACTCTAAGACATGTTTCAATTATACTTTTGAGATTCATAACACATGGTTTCAGGGTTTAGGTCTTTTCTATATGTGCATAACTTTTAATTCTAATACACAAGGGACCATAGTAAGCACTGTTATTTTATACATTTCACAACTCAGATAAGAGTAGGCAAAGCATGACAGCAATGCTTACGATTGATTGATTGATTGATTGTATATTCTTTTACGACCCATACGAGAATTTTTCAGTCATTAGGAGACATCACCATATACCGGTGAAGGGTTTCAAATTTAGACCTATAATCGGCACTCAGGGTCATTGAGCAGCGAAGGTTCTTTATCGTGCCAACGCCTACCGTGACACAGAACCTCGGTTTTTATGATCTCATTCGAAAGACCCTGACTTTCACTTCTAATGCCGGGCGCTTGGGGAAGTAACAGGCTCTACCTATGTTTTCGTGTTATGTTTAACGCGGAGCGACGAGAATCGAACCGGAGCCTCACGAACACGAAGCGAGCGCCCTATTACTAGGCTACCGTGGCCCGTCAATGTTTCCGAAACAGTTGATCAGTCCTCAAAATAAACTTCCTGTAAACCGTGTCAAATTCAGGAACCCAAATACAGTACTAGAATATGTTGCATTATTTGCCATTTACTGTCTTCAGATTGAGAAATATAATTTGGTACAAAACCATTCTATAGTATACGTATCGATAATGAGACAAATTTTATTGAATGAAAATCAGAGTATACATTTCCTAGATGTACAATGAGAATTGTAGATCTAAACACTTTCGTAGAGTATCTTGCTTGCAAAATGTATTAATCCATTTGATTAATTCCTTTTTTTCAGAATCCATATAGTAATGCAAATACACTACTTCGCACCATACGTCAGAAAGGAAGTACGAAACATAAAGACTACACAAGAAAACCACAGGATCCGGCAAAGGAAGTTTTAAGGGTTATAAGAAAGAAAGGTCATAAAGGAAACAACGAAAACAAAGTAAGCGACACAAGAAAACATTTCAATTGAATTTTCATTTTGCGATCTGTATTTTATGATTATCCAAGGCGTTTTATCATTATTTACTATTTTCATTACTCTCTCATGATGTCCTGTTTTGTAGGCTATTTATCACTAAGAACTTCTGCTGCTGCCTGTTCTAACAATTAACACACCTTAATCTTTATACTTCTTCATTTCTACCTGTCCTTGTGCTCAATATCATCTTTAACAATGTGGTTCGACTTTACAATATTATTGATATAACTGCAAAAGATAAATTTTCGAAGAATTACTACGATTAGTCATGCAAAAGCATCGCAATAATTGACGTATGCATAATGGTATTATGGTAGATTCATTTTCTAGTTTTTCATCTACATGTACACAAACAGATAGTAATGATATATGTTTAAGGGGGAAAATGTAATTATATGACAGAAGAGGTAATTTATCACCATTTGCTATTATAACCCGTGCTTTTCATGTGGGGGTATACAGTGATGGGGTGCCCGTCCGTCTGCCTGTGCTTTCGTCCGTCCGTAACACTAAGGGGCCCCCATCCCTTTTATGAACTACTCCTAAATCGCTAAATAAAATTTAATATAACTTTCATTTTAATGGGACAGATATTTGGGCTTTACCTTGGCAAAATATAGAGTTCTTCCTATAATACTGAGAGTAGCCATCTCTTATCTTCAACTCTTTTTCCTTGACAAAATTTGGAATTCTTTTACATAATACTGAGAGTAGCCATCTCTTATCTTCAACTCTTTTTCCTTGACAAAATTTGGAATTCTTTTACATAATACTGAGAGTAGCCATCTCTTATCTTCAACTCTTTTTCCTTGACAAAATTTGGAATTCTTTTACATAATACTGAGAGTAGCCATCTCTTATCTTCAACTCCTTTTCCTTGACAAAATTTGGAATTCTTTTACATAATACTGAGAGTAGCCATCTCTTATCTTCAACTCTTTTTCCTTGACAAAATTTGGAATTCTTTTACATAATACTGAGAGTAGCCATCTCTTATCTTCAACTCTTTTTCCTTGACAAAATTTGGAATTCTTTTACATAATACTGAGAGTAGCCATCTCTTATCTTCAACTCTTTTTCCTTGACAAAATTTGGAATTCTTTTACATAATACTGAGAGTAGCCATCTCTTATCTTCAACTCTTTTTCCTTGACAAAATTTGGAATTCTTTTACATAATACTGAGAGTAGCCATCTCTTATCTTCAACTTTTTTTCCTTGACAAAATTTGGAATTCTTTTACATAATACTGAGAGTAGCCATCTCTTATCTTCAACTCTTTTTCCTTGACAAAATTTGGAATTCTTTTACATAATACTGAGAGTAGCCATCTCTTATCTTCAACTCTTTTTCCTTGACAAAATTTGGAATTCTTTTACATAATACTGAGAGTAGCCATCTCTTATCTTCAACTCTTTTTCCTTGACAAAATTTGGAATTCTTTTACATAATACTGAGAGTAGCCATCTCTTATCTTCAACTCTTTTTCCTTGACAAAATTTGGAATTCTTTTACATAATACTGAGAGTAGCCATCTCTTATCTTCAACTCTTTTTCCTTGACAAAATTTGGAATTCTTTTACATAATACTGAGAGTAGCCATCTCTTATCTTCAACTCTTTTTCCTTGACAAAATTTGGAATTCTTTTACATAATACTGAGAGTAGCCATCTCTTATCCGCATCTCCTCCTATACCACTGAATAAAATTTAATGACAGTTTCACAGAATCTTTTTTACATTGTGTCATTGTGCACCTCCTGTTATTTGTTTTGATCGAACAGATATTTGGCACAACATAGACACTGTCATTCTTCCTTTGATATTGGGAGTTCTACAGAATTATTATTACATATTGTCTTTGTGCATATCTTATTTTACCTCTTGGTCAGACAAGAAATTGGGCCTAATTCCCGTACCAAAGAGTAAAATTTAATGAGATTCTTTATTACATTACTACATTGTCCATCTTCTTTTTTACGTTTGATAGGACACATATTTAGTTTTCGTACAGAAAAAAAGAGACTTTGTCATTAAACTTTTGTGAGACCGGGGTGGGGATTCATTTTGTGAGCTCAATGCTCACGGTTCCTCTACTTTAACATGGTCTTCTCTTGACGAAACCTAGAAAAATATTGTCACTTTTTTGTTAAAAATTTCCGAAACAGAATAATTCATAATTGCTAACACTTGACTGGTACCCGTCCCAAGTGAAAATAACATAAAGTAATTCGTTGTCCCTTTCTTCGTGCCCAGGTGCCAAAATGGTTTAATGATGAAATTCAATCCTCATCCTTTTAATCTTTTTAATAGTTTTATGAAGTGATACAAAAAGAAAATAATTTTAGATAAACTTAATTATTTTTAAACTGTCCGTAAAAATCATTTCAGTATTTTTTTTCCCAAAAATCTTTCCTTCTCAATAACGAAATTTTTTTCAATATGTTCAAACACTTTTCTTTTTGGTGCATTTTGTGTATGTATCTAAATTTAAAAATTACCATGTAAGGGACATGTGAGCTTGACTACTATTCATTAACTTCATATTTCATCCATTGGTCTTTTACATGCAATAGATTTTTGTAAAGATCAAGAAAAATAAAATGATACACTTTACACGTGCCAAAAAAAATCCATTTTGACAGAAAATAACTTATTCCTTTAGGACACAAAACCAAGAGCGAAAAATGCACAGACACAGACGGAGAGAGAAATTGAAGACATCATCAGAGAATTGGAGGAAATAGAGAAACATGCTGACACTGTATCAGGCCGTAGGAATTGTTGCCAAAAACCTTCGTCACCAGTCACAACAGACAACGATTTAAAAATGGCGAATGATTTACTAAATGAATTGGACAAAGAAATATTCCCGAATAAATATACGCAAACAAACACTCTCTCGGACAAAGCAATATATAAAGAGATTATTAATTTTTCGATGCCACGACGACATGTACAATCCAGGACTGATCATTGTTGGCCAAAGGGACACAAACTGCACTTAAAATTTGATTTTAATAAGAAATATTGATTATCGGTCATCAGAACCGTATTGTTTCAATAACAATGTTATTATTACACCGAGGCATTTCATGGCAGAAATCATTAATGTTTTATGTTTCCTTTGTACAAGACTGTATGATCTTAAATTATTAATTTATCGGTAAGTGTAAACGTAAATCCTATATTTTTGATATTACACAAAATAAAACAGTGCATATTATAGTTCGAAAACAGAATTTATCATCTGTAAAAGCAATAGCAGGTAGATATTTTTCTCACTTATTTTATTTTAATTTATTTATTTACTTCTATTTCATTTTATTTTATTTTTTTTAATTTTTTTTTATTTATTTATTTATTTTTTATTCATTTATTTATTTATTTATTTATTTATTTTTGCATTATAAGTGATGAGTTTTATTCTTATGGCACTAGATTCCTTTTTCATTAGCTCACCTGAGCTTTTCTGATGGAAATTTGTCCGTTGTCTGTCGTTGTCATCGTAGACTTTTCACATTTTCATCTTCTTCTCAAGAACCACTGGGCCAGTTTCAACTAACCTTGCCACAAAGTATCCTTGGGAAAAGGGGATTCAAGTTCGTTCAAATGAAGAATCACGCCTTCTTTCAAGGGGAGTTAATTATTATTTCGTGAAAAATAAATTCCATCATTTAAACATCTTCTCAAGAATGACTCTGAATGAATTATGAATCTTAGGTGGAATCATTGTGAGGTAATGTGGGTTCAAATTAATTGTTCAAATCATGACCCCTGGGAGTAGGATGGGGCCACGATGGAGGATCAAAGTTTTACATAAGAAAACATAAGGAAACAAAAGGAAAAAAAATATTTAAAAAATTTCCTTCTCAAAACAGCAAAGCCACGATTGGTCATATTTATCTGGAAGCATCTTCAGGTAGTGGAAATTCAAATTTGTTCAAATCATGAGCCCCAGGGAAAGAGTGAGGCCACAAAGTTCGACATAGGAAAACATAGGGGAAAATCTTTAAAAATCTTCATAAGAACAACAAAGCCATGACTGGTCATATTGATATGGAATCATCCTCAGGTAGTGTAGATTCCAATTTGTTCAAATCATGACCCCTGGGGCTAGGATGGGGCCCCAGTGGGTGATCAAAGTTTTACATAGTAAAACATACATGTAGGAGAAATCTCTAAAATTCTTCACAAGAACAGCAATGTCATAATTGGTCATAATAATATTAAAGCATTCTAAGGTAATGTAGATTTAAATTTCCTCAAATCATTACCCTCTAGAAGAATAGGGGGGGGGGGGCATAACAGATGATCATTGTTATAAGAATATAAAGGATATTTCAATTAAAATTTTCATCTTTAGAGCAGCAAAGCCATTGTGTGTCATATTTATTCAAAAACATCCCTGAGAAATGCAGATTAAAACTTTCAATACTGAACTGATAGCTGCTTTTTCCTAACCAAAGTGCTCAGGTGAGCGATGTGGCACCTGGGCCTCTTGTTACAATTCCTACAGGGATTTTGTTGCAAGGTTTGTTTGTACTGCTCATATTGACTTTTGCCACTAGACCCTTTTTATGACCTTTCCTATAGGATTTGTTTGTACTGGTCATTGGCTTTTTCCTGCCTTATGGTCACTCTGTCTAAAATATATTTGAACAGATTCCAACTTGACCTAGAAATGTTGCTATTGCAAGTAATAACGTACTGTGTATGTCACCCAAAACTAACCTTCATCCGATTCCATTGCAAGTGAAACAATCTTAATTCATTATTATTATTATTATTATTATTATTATTATTATTATCATCATTTTTAAGCTTTGTTAAATCCAGTAATAACTCCTGTAGACAACATTAGGTAGAAAAATTACAAGGTGAGATGGATATAGAAACGTACTCCCATGAAAAATGCAAGGTTATCTTACAAGTAATAGGACGAAAATACATGTATACAAATTATGGTATTTGTGATATAAAAAGGAGATTAAGCTAATAACATAGATAAGATACATTCCATGGAACAATTAAGACACGGTGGACACGAAACATTGGAAAAACACAACTCACATTGTACTGGAGACCTTTTTTTCAGGGTAAGTTTGTCTTTTTAGTGAAATGAAACACTATAAGTACGGATTTAATTTTGATATATATAGATATATTTTTCATTTTCATATTGCAAGAAGTATTGAAAATATATTTTATTAATATGAAAGTTTTTTCCCCATTGTCGATTACTTTATATATCGTTAAATCGAATGTTGACAGACATTTTTCATACAAATCGTTAGGCCATTATTTTCAAACTGAACACGGCGGGAGTGACTGATCGATAGGGGATGCACCAGATGGCACCAGATCCCGCCTCTGATCTTTTCAGAAATCCGTGTTTCAACTGCTCCCAATCTGTACTGTGCCATTGGACTTTTGGTCTTGATTAATGTTGTGGTTATCTTCCTATTTCATAGAAAAGGTATTAAACGACAAACAATTCAGTAGAAGAAAAGCACAATTTAGTTTGTTGTAAACAAGACTCACGGGACCTATTGAAAATACAGAGGCTTTAAATCTGGAAAAAATGACATAAAAATATTCTTTAATTCAGGGTTAATAAGAAGCATAAGAGGTAGGTAACCAAAAAAATTTAAATACATAAGGAACTAATATATATCCTAAAAAGTTTATATGAGATTTTGTTTCCATTGCCCTTCTATCTAGGTACTTGTTTGCCTGTATTTCCTCATATGTTAACGGACTGGGGGAATAATCATGACTAAAAAAAAGATCCCATAATTGGAAGAGATGCTGATTTTTATTAATAATAATAATAATAATAATATATTCGTCAACTTTTATTTCTTTATTTATTTATTCTTGTGGATATCATACTAATTTTCGTACATAAAATAATGGACGTTGGTGAGTTATACGTGTAACTTCCCATTATACAAGACTTAAGATTTTACTAACTGTTAAAGCGTTCATATATTATTTTCCCATAGAATCATTTGTGTTTTATAACTCCCGTGCAGTTCTTTTTCCGTGTTTATTCCGCGTTATGAAACACCTTATATATGGAGAAATAGTGCAAAGATTCTTTTTTCATTAGATTGTTTATGCGTGTTTTAGTTCTCATTAATATTCGTTAGTTGCTGCATAAAGAAGTAGGTAGTTTTGTTGTTGTTGTTGTTTTGTTTTGTTCTTTTGATAAACGGTTGATAAATTATCATTTAATGTATATAATAAGAATGTTACACTGATGCACAGAATTGCTGTTTAAAAAAAATATAAGGCCCTATTCTCTTTTTACGATATGATAAATCGTCAAGTATTTTTATATGTTCTTATATGAAAAAGGGCTTTCTACTACACCGATAAATCGGCAAAAGACCTCTTGCAACTTGCAATAAACGTTCGAATTTCTTCATCCAAAATGATGAAGACAACAATGACAGACATTTTTCTTCAATATTATAATGAACTCTCGATCCTTTGAATTCTTATTATGAAAATATTACTTGATACAAACAGGGTAAAATTTTACGATATGACGTCTCATTGACAAGTCATTCCGAATATGTTAATTGTTTTAATTACTAGTTGTGTTGGATAAAATACGTTTCGATGCAGTTTAAACAGTCAGTTGCCTACAACACGAATAAACAAAAGTACGAGTTAGACTTAGCTTGAAACACCAATGAATGAACTAAAGGAAAAGGATGCACTTCCGTTTTGGAAGTGGATAAAATCCTTGCGCACATATAGAAATGTGAGTTTATTCACCATGTATAATTTTTTTAAATCTCCAAATTAACACCATAAAAATTCCCCTCAGTACATAATATTTTATGATAGATTTGCATAAAGCTCTCAATACGTCTTAAACAAAGTAGTCCGTCGCGTCATTTGTGCGCAAACGGTTACATTCGTCGGATGCCTCACATGAATCTAAATAACTCATCAAAATAGTCCTTTTATAAATCGATATGATTTTCAAAATTTGATGTTTTATCACTTGAAGAATATATACAAGAACAAAAGTAAAATTTATGGTGATGTTTAGGAAATTCTGACTAAATTTAAATTTTTCATTATTTTACAAAATTAGTTTTTCTTGTGATCTTTCTCAGAAATTTAAGATTCTATATTTTATTTCTTTAAATCATTTCGCAAATATTAAATCTGTTAAAGCTCAATTATAATTTAAAATAATTGAATCTGCCTAATTAGTAAATAGTTGCTCCCCCATCCCCTCTAAAACTTCGAAAATTGGATGCGCCCCTGACTTTAATTTTGTGTTTTAACTCAAATTCTATAGATTATAGGTTTTTGGTACATTCCACACGATAGTATTCTATCAGATGTCCTAGGAAAAATCATAATTAATTCATTGCTAGATAATATTGTCATCGCTGCAGGTATCACTGCGTTTATTTATTCACTGAACTTTTTTAGAACCTCTATCTAATCTGTCATACAAAAACTACATGGGTGTTTTATTTCACTGCATGTGAAATCGATAGATATTGACTCACTTTATGTGTGTCTTTACCTTGAATGAAATCAGTTTTATTGTTTGCATTGTAAAGGTGAAATAATGGAAAATGGGAAATATTGTAATATCAATGTTTGCATGACATAACCCCCCCACCACCACCACCACCACCACCACCCACCCCCCGATTCCCGGTTTTCTTGTTGACGAAATGTCTGTAAAGATACTACTTATGCCCCACCAAGAAATGGTCGGGCAATGGTTCCCTCAGCGACTGTTATTAGGTGAAACTTAGTTTTCGGATAATTTAGTTGTAGTTGAAAAGATACTGAGCTTAATTTTGATAAGCATTTTTACAATCTTTTATGGTGGATTAAAGATAAAGTTTGAATCTTTATTCCCTTTTATCAAACTTTGGAAAAAAAAAACTTTTTCTCACAGTTTTGAAGACGTAATAATGATGTGTGCTGGTGGAAAATGTGCCGATTTTTTTTTTAAATTTACACTATATCAATGACTTACAGATCAAGTTT